TGGTTTTGGGTTTTTTTTTGTTTTGGCTATTTTTGTTGTTGTTGTTTTTAGTAAGATTTCTACCCAAGAATTAATTCTAATTGATTTTCAGTAGTTAGTTAAATAGTTTAGTAGTTAATTGTACTAGTGTAATGGAAATTGCAATTGCCAGATAAACTTCATATATTTGAAAGGAGTAAAATGGTTCCAGAAAATCCAGCAAATAAATGTGTATGCAAGGGACTACACTATCTTAACTAGGACAGTTAAAAACTTACATTACAAAATGTAAGCCAAGTTGTTTTAAACTGTGAATCTTTTGTGGTAATGGCAGGAACTCAGCATCACTTACAGGTGTAAAGCATAATTATTTCACTGGGTAGCTCTAGGTTTACAGTGACAAATCAAGCCCTGAAGAAGCTGAGTATTTGTAAGGTCAAAATAAAAAGTTGCAACACATAATACTGCAGCAGTAGCAGAGTTTGTGTGAAGCTTTTTTTTTTTTTTTTTTTTTTTTTTTTGGGGGCCTTTTTTTTTTTTGATTTTTTTTTTTATGAAAGTTCTCATGAGTACTACTTGACAGTGGAAGCCACAGATGGAGGCACACCTTCATTAAGTGATGTTGTAACAGTGAATATTAATGTCACGGATATCAATGACAATTCTCCAGTGTTTAGCCAAGACACTTACACTGCAGTAATCAGTGAAGATGCTATGCTTGAACAATCAGTTATTACAGTATGTATTGGTTTCTTCCTTTGAAATACTCTGTCATGATTATCATGCTTTCAGTCTGGAAGGAATAGGTATTGATTTGAAGGTGAACATCAATGAATACCACTGAGTGAATGAAAATTTACTTTGAAAAAGTTTCAGAAGTAGGGACTTCAGATGCTGTGGGAAAGTAGACACTATTTTGTGATATGTTTATGTTCTCCTCATGAGATCATGACTTAACTTTCAGAAGAAATTCAGGAAATCAAGTGATGTTGGTACATTCTATTGAGATGACATTTCTCCTGTGAGCTGTGAAATTTGTTAAGACCAAAAGAGCTCATCTTCAGGATGAGTTTATCTTAAAGATGCTAGAGTCTATTTCAACTGTTTTAAATGCTATTGTAATGTCCCTTAGGTTATGGCAGATGATGCTGATGGACCTTCCAACAACCGCGTTCACTACACAATTATAGATGGCAATCAAGGAAATCCTTTTACAATTGACCCTACCAGGGGTGAAATAAAAGTGACTAAGCTTCTAGACAGAGAAAAGGTGAGATTTTTGTGGTTCTAGGGTAGCTGGGATTAATTTACCTATACATAATGGATGACCACCATTTTCTTACTCTTACTTCTAAGTTACCGTTTCATGTTCTAAAATTAATATTGCTATAATAAAGTGCAAGCATCTGTTTATATCAGTACTTCTGGGAGGAAGAGAAAGGATCAAATATATGAAGGAAAGCTTTACTGGGGGTTGTGCTAAAATAATTCTTCTATAAAACAAAATCTGAATTTGTTACTTTTTTCCCTCTTCAGCAAATGTTTTTAATTTTTTTTATTAATTTTTTAGATTTCAGGATATACCTTGACAGTTCAAGCTTCAGACAATGGAAGCCCACCTAAGCTTAACACAACTACAGTTAACATTGATGTTTCTGATGTAAATGATAATCCTCCAGTGTTCTCGAAAGGAAACTATAGTGTTATCATCCAGGTAAATACAAATAGTGAAATACTTGAATCAGTGTTATTAGACTGCAAATTTGTGACTTGAAACTTTCTGTATTTTTAATTTAAGTTCACCATTGAGACTACTTATCAAATAAGTGCTGAGAGTTATAAAATTCCTGTTTTCACGTTATGTAGAAATTTGCAAGTTGTAAGAATCACAGAATGGGTGAGGTTGGAAGAGACCACAGTGAGTCAACCTCCCTGCTAAAGCAGGCTCATCCTAGAGTCCAATCCTGGACTCAGGATTGAGTCCAGAATATTCTTAAATATTTACAGTGAGGGTGACTGCATAAACTTGGGGTTCTTTTTCAGATTCCTTGTGTGTGTGCATGTCTATATATTATAAATTCCTTTATGTATAGAACAATCTTACAATCATACAGGAATGTTAAAATACATAATAATTTTGCTATTTCTTTTTAGACTTAAGGTTGCTGCTTAGAAAAAGATCCTTTAGGTACCTGTTACTATGAAGCTAGTGTTCTGCACCATGGCACATAGGTTGAGCCCTAATTCCCATTGATCTTCTCTGGGATCAGCAGCAGTTAGAACAAGAGTGGAATTTCATATGGCTGCATACCAATCCTTTGACTAATTTTACACTGTAGGATGATAGCAGTAGGCCACATTCTCAACTGTCTGTCTCAACTTGCCTGATTCAGAAAAGTGCTAAAGCAAAGACAGCAGAGTCCGAATCTATACTTCTTGTCTTCCTAAATCCAATAAGAATTAAATGGAAGTCAACAAAGGAATCGCATTAAGACCTTTGTAGACTAGTAATGTAAATGAGCTCAATCCCTTGTGTCCTTCTGCTGTTTCCTGGCCTGGTACAGTAGATCTGTGAGTATCTGACAGTGTTACCTGATGCACTGTGCCATCCTAACATACCACAAGTCTGCATCATTTGTAAAGGCAGCTTTCCAAAATAGGACAAAGTGAATATATATAATATGCACACAGTATGCAAATAAGATGCCCTGGATCTTGCTTTTAAAGAAACCCAACCAAAAAAAAAAAAAAAACAAAACAAACAAACAAAGAAAAAAAACCCACCAAATGAATAACCAAACCCAAAACAATAGATTCATGTTTGTGTGCTGTCAAGTGTATCTTCTCCCCTATTATAGTCTTTCTTGAAATAAATGTTACATTAATATCTCACTTAAATTTCAGACTGTATAGCCAATGTCTGTACTATTTCCCTTACTCAATTAAAAAGGAAGAGCTCTTGTTTTATAGTCATTCATATGGGCCTGCCCTAGTTGAAGGTAGCAGAGAAAAAGCCAGAGGAGCTGCCTGAGAATGCATTTCCTCTTGTATTGGAAATGGATATACTTGGACACAGCAAAAAATGTGCTTAGCTTTTAGGAAAGTCAAAATACTTTGGATGTTCAACTGTAAATATTTGTATTTTAAAGCAATGGTCTTTGTTTTGCTGAAAGGGAAAAAGCTTCAGTTTTTTGCAGTATCTGATAGCTAAATTGATTCACTCTCTCAGAGACGGAGTATTGTTACCAGGAGTTTTTACATCTCTGAAACAGATAGCATTTTGTTATCGTTTTACTTCAAAATAATGTTTCTACTATTCTTGCTTTTCAAATGAGTATGAATATAGAGAAATCTGGCAGATACTGTAGAGCACAAGTATACTGGGAGAGGCGTAACAAGTGTCCGATAAGGTTATATGTGTGTGTAACATACGTGATAAGCCAGTGTATGTGGAGTCTCTGTGAAACCTCAGACATCCACATGATGCAACTTGAAGGGATTTTATTATGCAAATTTTAAAACCTGGATTTCATATTTTTACTGGGTGCCTGTAGCAGCCACAGCTGCAGACAGAACTCTTAATTAGGGGCACAAGGGGTCAGATGGAGGAGTGTATTTTTCTAGTCCTCCCAACAAAGGCATTAGATTATTCTTAACAGGTGTTTTCTCTAAATTTCAAATCTTTGATGACTTGGTAATTAGGCTACAGTAATACTAATTCAGACCAGAAGTGGAAAATGTAGTGTCAAGGCTGAGCTACCTTCAAAAATACAATACAAAGTTTAAACAACTGCCTTGCTCCTTTTTGAGTCTTATTCTCAGAGTGTAGTAGTTTCCCTGAAGCAATATTGTCATTTTGATTTCTCTTGTACTGATTAACTTGTTTGACAGTAGTTTTTTGGGGTTTCTGTTGCAAGGAGGAAATCAGCATCAGACCATATCCTCAATTATAACAAAATCAATGTGTATTATATATCTATAGGAAAATAAGCCTGTTGGATTCAGTGTGCTGCAGCTAGTGGTGACAGACAGGGATTCTTCTCACAATGGTCCTCCTTTTCTCTTCACCATCCTGACTGGAAATGAAGAGAGAACTTTTCAGATTACCCAGCAGGGAGTTCTGACAACAAGTGCTGCACTGAATCGCAAAGTGAGAGATCACTATTTGCTTCATGTTAAGGTAGGATGTTTCTGTCATGTTCCTCTTACTGTTTTGCATTGTAAGTATTTGATTAACTTTTCCCACTCATGTTCACTCCACCAACTTACCTTTCTGTTAGGAAATCCTGACATGCCAAGTAGTCATTTGAGGCATGTCCCATGAGGTGATGTCTTCATAGGCAAAATCTGTTGGTTTAAATGCTAATCTACATCGATGCAATGAGAAGTTCAGTTAAACTCACAGTTAGAAGTAAGGTGTAAGTGAAACGTTAACTGGGTGAGTGGTCTTAATAAGCCCTTTGCCTTCTGGTTGGAATGTTGAAAAACCAGCAGGGCACAGGTCCCTTGAGCCATTTTCTATTGACTGCAGAATTCCTCTTGCTGCTGTTGTTTTGACCCTTGAAACTGTGTGCTGGACTAGACTCGCATGATGAAAGCAAGGATATTGCACAACATAGCAGTAATGGAAAATTTTCCTGTAGTGCCACATTCTTTTTTCAATGGCAATTGAAAACATCTTTTTTTAAGTTTGTACATTGTTTCATAGTATTTTCAGTAGACCTTTTTTCATAGCATTGAAACTTGCAGTGTAGTAGTTTGAGATCTCAGGATCCTGCAGTGGAAACCACAGCATAAAACTCAAAAAATGACCCTGAAATGTTATAATATATGCTACATTTGCCATTGTTGTGCAAAAAGATCAGACCATGTCCAAGGTTACATTAAACTAGCTAAGTTCTCTCAAATACTTTTTGTAACCTTGTGTGAGAAAAGTTCAAACCAATTATTTTAATTTTATCTAGTCCTTTTAAATTCAATTATAAATTAAGCAGCTGGGAGCAGAGGACTTAAAATTAGTAGGCTAAAAGTAGATGTCCTTAATTCTTAAACTTCATTTCCAGATTCAGCTTTTAAGAAAAAATCTTACCTTCATTTTCACATGAGGAATCTCTTTTAATCTCCAAATTATTCTTATGCATACTATTGCAGATAATTTATGAGTAAACATGCAGTTATAGTATTTTCAAATAATACTGTTTATAACAGTGTATGCTGAATTCTGTCTACATTGGGATAATTGTGACATATTTACACAAAGTCTGTTTTCTTTGGGAAAAGAAGAAAAAATTCACACAGATATTGTAATTTGCTGTTTGAGTCACTGAAATGCTAGTAACCAAGAGCCATAAATATAAGGACAGATATAGTTTCATTTAAGTGTAGTTTAGTTTGGGGTTAAAGAATTGGGATGAAGATGGGGGCAGGTATATCATTCCTCTGTTAGCCATTTTTTTCCTCAATAGTGATATGCCAACTCCCCCAAAGTCACCTTTTTGTTTATGGATGTTTTTCCTGTATGTGGAATCAGTGAGGTGCAAGATTCATATGTTTTCCTTTAGATCTTCTCTAAAAGTAACTAATTTCTATTTATTTTGCTTTTTAAATGTATTCTTATAAATGCATGTACAGGCAGTTATATTTGTTCTGCATAGACTGTTACACTGACTTTGTCACATTTCATGATTTAGCTGCACCTTTGGCCCTTCCTGATGTGCCTAGCTTTTTTTAAGTGTGAGATGACTGTTTAACATCTTCCTCTGAATGGAATCTTGTAATTCGTTCATTTCTAAGTCACTTTCTGGTCTCTAGTCTGCTTGTAAACAGCCTGTCAGTACTTCAGCTATCTTGTCTTCAGCACAGCAGCTGAAAAGTGCCTTTTTATTAGAGAATGAATATGGGCTATTTTAATGGCATCCAATAGCTAAACAAGTGTCTTAAAACAAATGTACTCATTTTGAACAAAGACTTGTCAGACACTGTAAATCATTAAAGCAGACTTTACTAATGTGCCTCTTCTTGTCAGTATTTTGGACCTGTCTAATCTGTTGATTTCCAAGTTTCTCGATTGGTTTCTTGAAATTTATCACTATCTTTTAATTTGCCATTTGTCATTTTACACTTTGCCAGCTTTTTTCAATAGACATACTGCTATTATTTGCTATTATATTACAATCCATGGGTAGGTATGGGGGCATCCAAGACTAAAAGTAGCATTTCCCTATCACAAGACTCCAGTTCCAATGATACACACAAAATTTAGGCATGGCTGTTGAGGAAAAATACTCTTCCTCTGTTCCTTTAAAATAATATTTTTTTCAAGTCTGTAGGAAGGCATTTTCCCCAGTTTGCATTATATTTAATTTCTGCATTTTGATCTTGCAAATCACAAGTTAATGGCTGTGCATGATCTCCTGATACCCATTTTCAGTTTTTACCTCACCTTTACTGGTATGCTTTTCAATTTTGACAGCTTTCACCTTAGTTGCTTTCTGAATGGCTTGCTGAGGTAGTGATATTTTTAATTTACAGGCATATTTTCATTTGAAAAAACTTATAACCAAAAAAAAAACCCACTAAAACTAAACAAACTTTCCCCATATGCATTCTGCATACCCATTACCTCCAGAAGATTTTACTTTTGTCATTTTAATGGAAATAAGGATCTTTTTTTTCCCAGTGGTCACCTTATATGGGCATGTCAGTGATATTTGCTTGTGCTCTCTCCAAAGGAAATAGATTATCCATTAACAAATGTCTCGCAGCATTAGTGTGCGAAATCTTCAGCTATGAGTCATGCAGTCCTTTGTACCACACTCTGAAGTCTTCAGTTTAAAACCACACCACATTTTTAAATATCTGCACTATTGAAAAACCATTTTGCCTGGGGCTCTTCTTTCCTACTTGCTGTCCATTTGTTATAATTTTGCTTGTCTGTTTGTTTTGACCCTTTTCTTGTTTCCCTTGGGCATTTCTTCTGTAGCTAAACTGCCTGCCTTGTCTTGTTTCCAGGGAGAGATCTAGGCAAAACAAAACTTTGCCAACTTGAGCTAAAACTCTCATTATTTATTTGGGTAACTGGAGGACAAGTTTCTAGCCATGACTGTCTTTGGAGTTAAAAGAAACAGATGAAGATATGTAGTTCTATGAGACATGCATTACCTTTTAAAAATGCCACATTTACGTGCCCATCCACAGATAATCTTGTGCCTGGAGTTACTCCTCTTTTTTTAAATTTGTATAAAAAAATCAAAAGCATCCTCTCCACATAGATCTTCCAAGTGTGCTCTCTAAAATTATTGCAAAATCTCTTAAACTATGCAGAATATCTTCTACTTTCTGAGCCTTGTATATCCCCACTGTACCTTTACATATCTCCAATTCTTATTTAACTATTTCTTTACTGTCACTTTCAGTAACTGATAGAGAGTTCTGGAAAAAGTAGATGGGAAGTAAGAGGTGAGAAATTGAAAGAAAAAAGTGAACCCAAGGGACTAGTCTTAACTCACTTTTCCACTCTTTTTTTTTATTGTCCTCATACAACAACAGTGTATGAGGACAAAAGGGGTGGAGAATAGGGTGTTCAAACAGGCTTTAAAATTGAATTAGGCTGATACAGTTAAAGATAGTTGATTAACTGTCTGAAGCAAATAGCACTACAGGTACCCACCTCTTGTTTTCTTCTCTGTGACCAAAAATCATGAAAGGCAACATAATTAACTTTCTGCATGCATTTTTTTTCCTTTTGAAGTACTATTTGGCACAGTACATTTACTTTGTCTTCCAGATTGCTTCTTAATTGTAGTAAAGCATGTTGTACATTTCTAGTGCATGACTCATTAAAGTTTGTAATGTATTGCCATGCTTGATATTAAAAAGCTTCAAGCACCATCTGGTGTCTGAAATCAACTACTGTGCGTTTCCTCTGTATTTGCTACTAGTGTTAATAGCTTCCTGGCATTTTCAGGTAATAAGAGCACTGTAAGCTTTTAATCTTGGGAGAAGTGAAAATATGTTTCTGTGTGCCTGCTTATATAAGCTTTTTAAGTTTTCTGTGTTAACTTTTATGTTAGAAATTGTGTTACAGAATTTATGTAAAGCATTTAAAGCATTTTCCTATAGGACTTTTTGGTGGGGGTTTTTGGGTACAAAAATACAGCTCAACTGTATACAGGATGAATATCTAGAGTAGAATTTGAGATAAAGCAGAAATGTAAATCTGTCCTCATCTTTCCTTTAGGTGGCAGATAATGGAAAACCACCATTGTCATCTTTGACTTACATTGATATTAGAGTTATTGAGGAAAGCATTTATTCTCCAGCAATACTGCCTCTGGAAATTTTTATTACAGCCTTTGGAGAAGAATATTCAGGTGGTGTCATTGGAAAAATTCACGCAACCGATCAAGATGTTTATGATACCTTGACATATAGTTTGGACCCCAAAATGGAATCCCTGTTCTCTGTTTCCAGTACTGGTGGAAAACTAATAGCACACAAAAGGTTAGACATAGGACAGTATCTCCTAAATGTCACTGTTACAGATGGAAAATTTACAACTGCAGCTGATATTACTGTACACATCAGACAAATCACACAAGAGGTATTAAATCACAGTATCACAATACGTTTTGCAAACCTGTCCCCTGAAGAATTCATTGGTGATTACTGGCGCAATTTCCAGAGAGCATTGAGAAACATCTTGGGCGTGAGGAGAAATGACATCCAGATTGTTAGTCTGCAGCCTTCTGATCCGCCTTCTAATCTGGATGTCCTCCTGAATATTGAAAAGTCTGGTAGCTCTCACCACCCAACAAGAATTTTGCTCCACAAGATAAACTCTTCTGTGCCTGACCTAGAAGAGATTTTGGGTGTCCGGATAATTGATGTGTTTCATAAGCTCTGTGCAGGCCTTGATTGTCCTTTGAAATTTTGTGAAGAAAAAGTAACAGTGGATGAGAACATCATGTCAACCCACAGCACGGCCAGGTTGAGCTTCGTCACTCCCCGTCATCACAGAACAGCAGTTTGTCTTTGTAAAGGTAAGAAACACAGTGAGGGAACTGTATCCTTGAAAAGATTGTTCTAGTTTTAAAAAGCAGTAATCCACAGATGGAAATTTATATTACAGGACAAGACCAGGAATGTTCTGGAACTCTTTCCATAGTATTTGCCTAATTTTATTTATAGTAAAGAGTAATTCTTTCTTATCTCATTACCTCATTTCAAGACTTTACATAATACAAGTTTATGGGAGCGGATTTTTTTTTAATAGCTACACCTTCATTTTCCATTTTATGAAAGAAGTTAATTTTTTTTTTTGTTGTCACCTATCCTATATTGATGGCCATTTTCAGTCTCGTGTGTACAGGCAAGTTCCTGCCAAGTACCTAAAAACCTCCTTGTTTCTGCTTAGAGGAATACCGCACACAGTTTCCAAACTTGTTTGGGAATGAGAGGATATGTGGGAAATAAATATTCATTAAAATATATGTAAGGATAAAGATTTCTGACAGAAGATTAATTTATCTTTATTTCCGAGGAAAACAACAGTGCTTTTTAAAATCAGGACTTAACCGTGCTGGGTGAACTTGCACATATGAAGTAAATATTTAAGGACGACCATTCCTTTTCTGTCTTAAATACAGATGTGCTTTTCTCTGCTCTCCCCAACCTACTCTGTCTGTGTTTAATATCTACATGTAGGGTTTTCTGGTGAACGATTCAAATGGTAAGCCTTAAACCACAACACCAGTTTCCCAATTTTACCGATTGAATTAGTAATCAAGATAAGGATGAGCATCAGCCACTCTTATGTTATTTGTCTAGTCTGTGCCAGTCATGCTCCATAACTGTTATTCACTTCCTTGTCTGATAGTTAGGAATATCATTTGGGGCACTTTGTGAAAAGGGGCTTAAGAGTCTGTTTTCACAAAATACAATCACCACCAATAGAAAAGAAATCTTGGGTTTGATTTTACAGAAGGGAAATGCCCCCTGGTGAACAGCGTGTGTGAAGGAAACCCATGTCCTGAAGGTACTGAATGTTTAGGAGATCCAAAGGAAGGAAAATACATCTGTGTTTGCCAAGACAGCAAAGCTGGACAATGTCCTGGTAAGGAATTAACTTTAAAAAACTCTGTGTAAAACCATCTTACTTTCCAAATATAAATTTGATTCCAATCCTGTGCTAATACTTTTTATGCCTTTCTGTATTCCTAAGCATCAGCTGGCTCTGCTGTGACATTTACTGGGAGCAGCTATGTGAAATATCGTCTCATGGAAAGTGAGAACAAAGAGGAAATGAAGCTGACAATGAGACTTAGAACTTACTCTGCTCATGCAGTTGTTATGTATGCTCGAGGAACAGACTACAGTATCTTAGAGGTATATTAAAATCTCCTAGTGCATATCTCCTCCTTTCTTTTTACCATCTTATTATTTTTTGTGTCAGATTAAAAGATTGATTCATAACATCTCTTTAGAATGGTTATAATTGAAAATTGCCTTAAAGATAGGGTGTGTTACACATCCAAGTGACAAACTTGTACAGAAATTTTTACATGTGTAAACAAACAAAGCTTCCTGAATCATATATTTTAAACAACTTGAAATTTCTTTGTTTTTAATACTGAAGTCCATACAGGAAAAGTTACTTAAAGCACAAGATGAAAGGTATTGATGTATTGTAATACTTTGATTATGATCTGTGACTGCTTTACTAGAGGAACAAAATATACAAAGTGTGTTACAATTAAAAGAAACGTACAGAATAAATCACAGTTGCTGTGACTGAAAAACAGTGTTATTAAACTGCTTTTTATGACCACCGTCATTCTGTCTCTCCAACAAACATAAACTTATAGATCAATATTCTATACTCTTTAGGTATGCAGACTATTGATGTTGTGGCTTTCCTCTGTAGATCCATCATGGAAGACTGCAGTATAAATTTGATTGTGGCAGTGGACCTGGGATTGTCTCTGTTCAGAGCACTCAGATAAACGATGGCCAGTGGCATTCCATATCTCTTGAAGTGGATGGAAACTATGCCCGACTTGTTCTGGACAGGGTGCATACTGCATCTGGTACTGCTCCTGGTACACTTAGAACACTAAACCTAGACAATCACGTGTTTTTTGGTGGTCACATTCGTCAGCAAGGTACAAGACATGGTAGAAGTCCTCAGGTTAGCAATGGTTTCAGAGGCTGTATGGACTCCATTGTACTAAATGGACAAGAGCTGCCCCTAAACAGCAAGCCACGAAACTACGCACACATGGAAGAATCTGTAGATGTCACTCCTGGATGCTTACTGACTGCCACAGATGGCTGTTCAAGCAGCCCATGTCAGAATGGAGGCATCTGCAATGCACTGTCAAATGGAGGTAAGCTGCTCTTTATTCTTCTGCTTTTAGTTTTCAAAACTGCTTCTCAACTTTTCTGCTTTGAAGGACAAAACAACTTGTGCATAATTCTTGGTTTCCCAGAGTTGTAGAAGGTCAGTTGTTGAATAGGTAGGAAGGCTGTGTGCCTTCAAGATTCAGCTCCTTGGGGTATGAGGTAGACAAAGTCCATGTGGCAAAGTGGGGATTTTATCTTCAGTGCTGACATATGAGGTCCATCCTCTTAACAGCCTACTTTGGAGTCTTTCTTTAAAAATTCCTTTAAAAATTCTGAAATCATTGGGACTTGTCCCAACATTTGTTTTGTGAGAAAAATGTTGAAGAAAACTCTTTACTACTTTGCCTTTGCCTCATCTTTTGATAAAAACATTTCTATTTTTTCCCATCCTTTCTCTCATGTAACATGTTGGTGGGTAGGGAGGAATTTATCTTAAATCTGTAGGTGAACAGATTGTGAAGGATTTTATCTCAAATCCAGTAAAGCCGTATACAACTTTCAAAAATACTGTATTTGATTTTAGGTTACTACTGCAAGTGTGCACCTTTGTTTATGGGAACTCACTGTGATGTAAGTGTCAACCCATGTGCTTCCAACCCCTGCCTTTATGGTGGGACTTGCATCCCAGTCAGTGATGATTTTATCTGCCAGTGCCGAGGACAATACACAGGTCAAAGGTATGTTTGTGTGGTTCATTGTATCAATTAACCCTGTTTTTTTTATTTGTGTTTCCTACTTAAAGCTCAGATCTGAGACATACTGGAGCTGGCTGAAGTTAACCAGCAGCCCCTGTGTTACAGCTCTGAATCTCACATTATAAACTTGCTTGCAGTAAGGTAATATTCAGCTGGTTTTGTTTGTTTTGTCTTTGCAGATGCCAGCTGGGTCCATACTGCAAAGATAATCCTTGCAAAAATAGTGGCAAGTGTATTGACAGTTTGGATGGACCTGTTTGTGAGTGTGAAGCAGGCTTTCGTGGAGAAAGGTAGGTAGCATTCCACGTATATCAAATTTCAGTAGTTTTAATTAACAGATTAACAGTTCAAACTGGTTGAAATCTGGGATGTTGATAAAACAGCAAAATGCATGTTAGTGTGCAGTACCTTATAATAAATATATCTACAATTGTTGAGAACAAGATTACAACAAAGATTACTGATGTAAACTAAACATCACTGCTGTGCTCTGTTTCTGATAGGTGCCTGACTGATGTCGATGAATGTGTAGAAAACCCATGTCTCAATGGTGCCCTTTGTGAGAATACTTATGGTTCATATCACTGCAACTGTAGTCGTGGATTTGGAGGCAAACACTGCACAGACATTGTTCTCAATAAATATGTTTCAACATCTTGGAACATTAGCTTAGCTGAAGTGATTGGAATTATTGTTTTCGTCACAGGAATCTTCTTGTTAGTTGTGATTTTTGTTGTTTGCCGCAAAGTGGTTGGTAGAAAGAAGAAGCACCAGCCAGAACCTGAAGACAAGCAACTGGGAGCTACAACAGCCTTCTTGCAAAGACCATGTTTTGATGCAAAATTGAATAAGAACATCTATTCTGACATCCCACCACAGGTTCCTGTTCGTCCTATTTCATACACTCCAAGCATTCCAAGCGACTCCAGGAACAATCTTGACAGGAATTCTTTTGAAGGGTCTGCTATCCCTGAGCACCCCGAATTTAGTACTTTTAACCCAGATTCTGTACATGGTCACCGGAAAGCTGTAGCTGTTTGCAGTGTTGCACCAAATTTGCCACCTCCACCTCCCTCCAACTCACCTTCAGACAGTGATTCAATACAGAAACCCAGCTGGGATTTTGACTATGACAGTAAGAGACATTCTTATTTTTTACTTTCCTGTTAAATGTGTGTACTGGTACAATTTTGATACGAGTACAAAGTCTCTGTTTATACCATTTAGAGTACAAAAGGCATTATGACTTTACTGAGTTTTGTTTCTGATCAGCCTTCATGCTCTACTAAGTTTTGTAAAAATGTGCAAGTCTCAACTTTAAATGGTATTGATTCTTTAATCTGGAATCTACTCATTGTCTCACTTGAAATATTTTCTTTCAGCTAAAGTAGTAGATCTTGACCCCTGCCTTTCTAAGAAGCCTCTGGATGAAAAGAACTCCCATCCTTACAGTGCAAGAGAAAGCATGTCTGAGGTCCAGTCTCTCAGCTCCTTCCAGTCTGAATCATGTGATGACAATGGTACGTAAAAGACAATCATTCTGTACTGCTGCTGATGTTCATTTGTTCTGTCTTTGCATCTGTATCTCTTAGTAACAGTAGGCTTTGCATATATTGAATATATATTAAATAGTAGCTTATTTAATATATATTTGTATTTACTTATGTTAATACCTAAATATATTAATTTAAAAAAAAATATTTTATCTATCTCTACATCAGCTGTTAATTACTTTACCTTAAAATTATATATAATCATTCTGCTGTTAGAATATTACAGTGAAATCAAAGTGCTCAGAGCCTTGTGTTTAAAACGTATTAGAATTTGGTAAACTCTTCTAGGTTATCCTTAGTTATCATCTTATACAAGAATACAGTGAATTTTAAAAATGGCCTCTGCACAAATATAACTTTCACTTTGCTGTTCAGCTCTCAGTATAAAGCTTTCTGGTATTACAGTTTCATTTGTTTCCTTCTCTTTTTCTTGCTGCGACCTCAGCTCCCATATGGATCAGATCAGTTCTGAGTGAGAGCAGAGTTTAAGGGACTGCTTGTAAGTTTGATTACTTTAGTAATGAAGGAAACTGCACAAAAAGGAATTTTGTTATAGTAGAACAGTATATTTGGCTTTCACCATGATTGAAATGAATTATAAAAACATTTCATACATTGAAAAAAGCCAATATAAAAATATAAATATTTTGATCCCACCTCAAGTCCATCAAAATATAATCAGCATACATACTTGTGGGTTTGATTATTATTAATTGGATATATTTTCCATTGTGATGACAGATGCTTTTATAGTTGATATGAATGCATCTATGTATTCAGAAACATGTTGTATTGATTGGACAAAGCCACAGTTGTGCCATAACTTAATTTGCTAAGTTAAGGTGTGCTTTGACTCTTTATTCCACTTTCTGCTTTTGTCTCTGCCTGGTAAAAAAGAACTTGAAATTCCTTTAGCTTAGGAATAAAGAACATTCTGCTTCTTAATAAAGTAGAGTGATTTGTTATTAACAGCATGAAAAAATCTATCTGGTTGAATGATTGGTGAAAGTAAAATGGTATGCTTGCAGTCCTCATTATTTCATCAGTGGACCTGATACCAATTTCCAACTTCTTTTCATGTGGTTTTAAGTGTCATGTTTTATGTGTTGTTCTCCCCTCCTCACTGTCTCATATATTTAGTATATTCTTTTTCCCATTTCCTGTCATGTACTGATTACTCATTAATACATCATTTTAAGAGAAATAGCTGTAGCATCATAGATACTGTTCCTTCCTTCCATTTTGATAGATTTAGAATTTATTAGCTTGATATTTAGTCCCTGAGCTGTGCAAACAAGTTGCATGTGCTTACTTCACTTTACCCTATAAGAATAAATCCTTCTCCATTCCAAAACTATCTTGAGGGAAAGGGAAGACAAAAAATGCATTCATTTAAGTTTGGGCTTTTTTTAAAATAAGTCTCTAACAGCCTGAATTTGGTATTCCTACTGTGATATCTCTACTCATATAAAATTTAAGTAGATAAGTAACAGAAATTTTCATTAGGTATTTTTCATATTCTATCCTTCTAGTGCATTTCTGGGAAAATTTCTTTCCCATATGTACACATAGTTTACATCTAATACAATAATCCTTAATTCACCCAACACAAGCCTTGAGAAAAGTCTAGTTTGTTGCTATGTAGATAAAGTATTATGCAAATTAGTGTATTTAGGCAGCATTTCAGAAATACTAACACAAGCAGCCTTGTGCTCATGCAAAATGTACTTCACAAGTAGTTACAAGTACTTTTGTATGTTTAGCAATAATAAAATTGATCTTTAGATATGTGTTTTATGTATTACATGCAACTACTCTCTAGATTGAGAGTAATTGTGCATGTACACTAATAATGTTGTTCTATAAAACAGTAACGAACTGCAATTTCACAGTGTTGATGATGGGGGTTTTTTATGTATCTGTCTGCTGTTTAAAGTGATACTAACTATAGGTTTGTTTTAATTTGCTCCTTTTATACCTTTTACAAGCTTCCGTAGTGACTGTAATACACCTTGTCAATGCTGTTGTTGACTCGGTGGAAAAAGAAGGTATATACATGTTTTCATATTTATTTACTGCTTTGGAAGCGTAATGCACGTTTGTTTTCTTACATTGTCTTCTAGTAATGTAGTCCTAGCCAGATGCGAGTTATAAAATATTATTTACTTAGACTTTCTGATAAATTATAGCAAAAAATATATTTATATTGTATATCTGTTAATATTTTCTTGCATATGCTGTAGATGCCTTGTGAACAGGTTTCAGAGTGTGTTTTCTTGGGGGAAAAAAGGGATTGGCATAAAAAGATCTTGGTGCTTACTCTCTTCTGAAAATATTAATACTAAAGCTGCCAGCAGAATTGAGACAACATCAAAGGCATGCAGTACTGTAGATGAAACAGCAGCAGCCTCTGCTTCCCTTTCTTCTCCCACACACACCTGTTGATACCCTTTCCAGCTGAGCAGAATCAAAATGGTCTGGTATCAGTACTTACTGAAGATTGGTCTTCAGATCAATCTGCCTCTTAAACAGAAAAAAAATATTTTTGTCTGCAGCTGAGATATATAGCCATATACATCCTCATCAGTTTAAGTAGCTTGTTACTAAGCAGCCTTACAACAGTACCTAAAATGTATATTTGGGTATATGTACACACACGTATATTTTTGTGTGTATGTAGTATGTGTTTGGAAGTTAGAAAGAGGCAAGGTAGGTATTTTCAAAGGTATTTTATTTCCTTTCTGCTAACATTTAAGAACTAACCCCTCTGGGAAACACAAACTCTTAGCAAAATAATAATAGTAATAAAAGTGCCAGTGAGTCTATATGAATGCTAACTGTTGTTTTAATTGACTAAATACTACATTAAGTTCCAGTAAAAGGCAAATTATTCACTCCATAACAATGAATTTGCAGAGATTTCTTCTGAAATAACATCCAGCCTATGCTATTTCTAGATACAGACTAGGAAACATGTTTTTTATTTAGTCCTACTTAAAATTGAGCCATTGTAAGAACGTAAAATCAATTATAGTAGCTAAAGTTTCACTTTGGTTTGTTATCTGAAGTAAACCCTTTTTAATTTACGCAGACACACAAAAGAAAGTAGACAAATGCAAAGACTTCCAATTACTTGAGAGTATTTCATTAATGAGGGTACCATTTCATTAATGTGTACCTATAGACAATAGTCCTTAGTGCAAAAAAAATTGCAGTGCACATTACTTGGGAATGGGAAAAGAAACAAGACTAAAAGAGGCCAGATCTATTAGGGGAAATATTTAATAACTGATTCAGATTTTCTCTAAGATTTTAATTGGTAGAATCTAAAATTATAGATGTAGTTCTCAAGTCAAAGATTCAAGTATTGCTTGGTGTTTTAGTATCACCATAAGATAAACACAAACATTGTGTTTATGCATTGTATGCATTGCAATTGTAGAGAGATTAAATATGTCCTACTCCAGCTGCATCTTAAAGTTTGAGAGTTTCTGCTCTTAATAAGCATTTCTTCTTTCAAAGCATCTTAGGTAAGGAGTTCTGCTCTTGAGCATCCTCAGGGAGGGTGTTAGTTTAAGAAGAAGAGATCCTTACTCAAGCCTGCAGTAAGGTCATGTTCTAGGAGAGGTGGCCCTTACCTTTAGTCTCCCCAAGTGATTCTGTCCAACAGGCATCCTGGAAGCATGAACGGTAACTAATCTCATCGTAGGACAGTTTTAGGTTGTAGCTTGATGCAAATCAGCAGTGCTGAGTGCAGGAGAAAATATAGCTCCAATCTAGCAGATTGTCACGTAAAGATGGGCACATCCGGTTCTAGTTTGTGTTTCTGCCATTTATGTTAAAGGGTCTTTGCCTCAGAAGAAGAGGAAAACAGATCTCTCCACTTGTTGAAAGTGCTATAAATCATAAAGCCTATTGGCTTTAGTTTTGCACCCAATTTCCCAGGAAAAATAAAGAATGTTGTCTTCTAAGTAGACTACTGATGAGAGTCTTCTCCTGGAGTTGAGGCCAGAGATGTTTTAAGAATCTCAGAACTCAGACTGACATCTCTATTAGTCTGAACAGCACTTTTCTTGTCTGGGCTAGGCAAGCTTAAAAAAAAATAGGAACTTCTCTCTGAAGAGTCAACCTCTGTCCCTTCAGTCTTACAACAGATGAAAGTATGAATTCTTAGGAGAAGATTCTGCCATTAGGAAAGGCATCACTCATCCTTAGAGACTTTAATAGGGCATATAGATTCCTGAAGAGAGAAAGGTTTAATATTTGTCAGGGCAGTTCTCTGCTGAGTGTGAGTTTTTGGAATAGCCGTACAAATGGAGGCAGGTTTCCCAGAGTTTATGTATGGAAGCCAGACACTAAAGTGTTTATGTACAGAAACCAGATACTCAGGAGATACTTTGAAGTGTAAGTGCCAATAGATGGAGCCCTGTATCAAAACACAAGGGTAGATACAAGGAAAGAATCAGATCAAGTCCTATTACCCTGTGTAGCAGAAGTCCTGAATATACTGATAAAAGGATTTTCATAAACTCCAGACTTCAGATTTTACCACAAGACAGCTACATCCCAGATGTGCAGTACATTAATTCAGTAGCTATCCTACAGTTCACGTCTTAAAAAATAAGGAGCCCAGGAGAAAAAATTAAATAAACTTTAGTATTGCTAATTAAACTGGATAAAAACAGTGTGAATGTCATAGTGATTAGTCATTGTTTGTCTTCATATTGGTTCTACTATTTGATTCCTAACTAGAGATGTTTTCTCCTTTTTCTTCTTATTCTGCCACCTAAAGAATCTTTTGCTGTTCCTGACCTCAGCAATTCAAGAGGTGACTTCTGCATGCAGTTCATTGATGATCACCAAAATTTCTGTTAATATTTGGTTCTAACACAGACTTATTATCAGTTGCTTGCGGTGCATTTGTCTGCAGTGATTTCTCTTTACTAGATTTGCACTGTATTACAACAGTGCATTTTTTATTGATGTTCAGATGAGAGAAATTATTCAGTTTTAGTTAGTTTAGGCTTACATCTAGTTTCCAGCAAATACAACCTTATTCAAAGGGAGTTTGCAAGAGAAGATCAAGTCCAGTCATTTTTGCATGATTAAGCTTGATTTTCCTGTTTTGTTCTTGTAGTTGAATGTGGAATGTCTTTACTAATAACGAAAGATTTTTATCAGAGGTGTTCCTGTAGAGCTAACATCATTTTGTGAAACTAACTTTATAATGTGCTTGAGTGGCAGAGTCACTTTAAATGGGCTGAAATACTTTACCAAATAGAAATTGCTTATTTTATGTAAGAAAGTCATAGGTTATATATGCTAAATATATTCTTAAGAAAATAGGCCATTGTTATCACCGTAACTAATTACTCAGCAACAATTAAGTATTTAGCTGCACCAGGTAGGGTGTTGATTTTTTGCTATCCACTGAACAGCTTTGTATTGTGACAGCATGTTCCATAGGTGACTACAGCTCTTCCCATGTTAGGTGTGATGTCTGAGAAAATGTAAAAGTTCAAGTGTGAATGATGCACTATCTCATGCATGGCACCAAGTAAAGTTGTGTTGAATGTCTTCTGTGCAACAAGGATAAACTGCTGATTAACAAGTAGTGTCCTAATCACGGTGATTGCATTGTTTTAATATATGTGTTGGTTTTTCAGTTCAGACTGACTTGAATACAATATAGTAATACCATTTTTTTCTTTAATTAACTTTTCAGGTTATCACTGGGATACATCAGATTGGATGCCAAGTGTTCAGTTGCCAGGTATCCAAGAGTATCCAAATTACGAAGTGGTTGAGGAGTCAGCTCCCCTCTACACAGATCCAAATGCCATCGATACAGACTATTACCCTGGTGGTTATGACATAGAAAGTGATTTTCCACCTCCACCTGATGATTTCCCTGCACCTGATGAGCTTCCACCGTTACCACCTGAATACAGCGACCAGTTTGAGTCAATACAGCCACCCAGAGACATGCCAGCCGTAGGTAGCTTGGGTTCTTCTACAAGGAGCAGGCAGAGATTTAACCTTAATCAGTACCTTCCCCATCACTACCCTGCAGATATGTCAGAACCTCAGACCAGCCCCAGTGGCGGCAGCGGCAGCTACAGAGAGCCGTACGCTCCATACTCACTGGGGTTCAATCCAGACTTTGAAGCACCCACTGTAGACAACATGTCCATGTCTGTGTACGCTTCCACAGCCTCCTGCTCGGATGTGTCGGCATGCTGTGAAATGGAGTCTGAAGTCATGATGAGTGACTATGAGAGTGGAGACGATGGTCACTTCGAAGATGTGAAAATTCCTCCGCTTGATTCCCAGCAACATACACAAGTCTGACACACTCAACAAAAGTGCCTGGACTCTAACAAACTTTATCAAATCCAGAACAATTTTCAAGAGCTTTTTTATTTTTTCTTCTTTTTTTCCAGCCACGATGAATGCTTTTATTTCAGTGAGCTAAACTGGCATGGCAGCATTGGATCATGCAATTCATTTCACTAAATGAACCTCTTTCCATTTCCTGACCTACTGTATTTGGAAAGTTCTAAGATTTCCATTGGCTGTGCCATTTCTGAACATCCTTTATGTATTTACATTGTTCTATGTTTAAAAGAAATCACATACCACTTCTCCATGTTAGCATGACACATATATTTATATAGTTCCAATGCAATTAATTTTCTCCTATTTCTTTGTAAATTCTATGTACAGTTTTGATTTTATTAGTTTTAACTAGATTTTGTAGATATTTTGTGAATTTGTTTTCCACTGAAACTAGTGATGTTAGTGTGCCATTAAAAATGAGCACCCTGACTTCTTATAATCAGGGCATCACTGTATGTATTCCCCTGAAAACTAAGGTTTGACATTTCATTGTAAAACATTCAACATATTCACACAATTTCAATTGTACATACATTAGGTCTGATATTTTTCTGGGTCAGCTATTTGGAAATGTCTTAAATGGGTTGCTGTATTTTAGAACTGTAAACATTTTTTTCCCTTCTTGGAAAGTGTGTTGGGGACCCTCTGCATACCAGTTTAGAACCAAAACCACCATGACACAGTTTTTATAGTGTCTGTATATTTGTGATCCAATGGTCTTGTAAAGGTTTTTACTGAAAATTATCATTAGCCAGTCTTTCTTACTGACAATAAATTATTAATAAAATACTTTAGCTTTGCTCTGTGTATCTCTATTATATAATATACCATTGACAAAGCATTCAGTGCAGCATTTTTTACGTCTGTATATGTTTTGTACTGTATTAAGTTACTTGCTCCAAGCAACTCCTTTTCCTCTCCTCTGAAATCAGCCTGCAGCTGTGTTAGAGATGCTCACAAGATGGCAGTGTGTGTCTGCTTAATGGTGTTTTTAAAAGTAATTGGGCCAGTCTGAATAAAGATTGATGGGTATCAAACTGCAGTAGCCTTCTCAGTAGTTTGCATTTTTCTTTAAACATATAATATCAGCTGTGTAAATTGCTGAATATTTTTTTTCTCAAGTCACAAAAATATATACAAAAAAACCCTCCCAAGATCTTTAAAGTAGTTTCTCTCCTCCTTTATCACCTGAATACTTCCTTTCATGACTAGTTAGCCCTTGATTGTTCACCTGCATGCTGAAATGGCCATGCCATTGTCTGACTTTGTGCTCAATAGCTGGTGGTTTCCTGCAATTATATTTCAATTGCCATTTCTTACATTAAGTTCACACTAGAAGTTTACCTTGAAGAAGTAAAGGTGGAATACAGTTTTCCTGTGTATTATCCAGCTGCTTTTCTGACTAGAAAAGAACAAAGCCTTTAACAGAGTTCTCTAGCATAAATTTGGCCTGATGGTAAGCTAAAGGAATAATGTAACTGTCTTCTGCCTCTTGCTTGAGGGATCCTTTTTAAGTTCAGAACAGATTTCTTGGCACATTAGTGAAATTTTAATATAGCCTGGAATCCTTTCAGCTCTGCCTCCATTTTGTTCCTACTGTTAGAAAGTTCTGTAGGCTGGAAATGTACAATATTAGATTCCTCTCCCATCATGAGAGCTAAGCCTCAGCCTTCTACCATCTAGGGAACAGGGTACTGTATTTGGAGTGCTATTTATATACAAAATGGAACAACTCCCAGCTTGGCATCTGTATAATGGAAATTGGGTGGATTACAGGACATAGCCAGGCACTGACATTCCTTGTTAACTTGCCCATATGCAGGTTAAGAATCTCATGACTTCTGTAAAAAGACTAAAAAATCAGGAGGTTTAAACCCACATTCTGGCTGTCCACGGTAATATTCACCCTAATAACTAAGTGCCTTTTGTACATCAGACTGTTAGAATTTTCTTAATAGCTTTAGAAGAATCTTACAGAACTGTGAGCCAAGGGTGTCACACACTGTAGTAGTTCACATCACTGCTTAAGGCCCATCTTGAGTGAGGAAGATTAAGCTTTTTGGAAATTCTGCTTAAGATTCTGCTACTTGGTAGGAATGAGTGTTAGGAGACAGCAAGAGGAAGACACCACACAAATTTGCATCACTTCTTAGTTGATTTCTCATCCCAGAAAAGATGAAGACCTGCTCTACAAATACATTTTATAAAGTTACTCATTTACAGAAGGGCCCAAAGACAGATTTTTAAAATTGAGAGGTGTGAAGGACAGAAATATCAACACTTAAATATATTTGTTTTACTGTGAACTGAAGGCTAACACAGAACGTCAAACTGAAAAGTAAGTCTCATTATTCTACAATGAAATCCTATGTAGGTGTAAAAGAATGCTTTCTTGAAAGTGTAAGAATGTATATATATATGTATATGTATTTTTTTACCTTTTCACAAGAATTGTGGTGCTAGGCAACACACAACACCAAGGTTATACTTCACATCAGAAAAACAAAGCTGCATTGTAACACTCACTTATGGAAATAGCAGGCATTTTCAACTCCACAGCTTTCAACAGCTTTGCTGTTGGTGTGTAAAGCAAGGACATGTTGGACAAATGCTTCCTTTGTGGGGAGCTCTTATTGCCTAATTCAAGTCCAGTAAGTGCAATCAATCCTATTTTCTTACACAGAGCTACAGCAATACACCAGATGAAGCTGATGACATTTTAAACCAAATTAAAACTGACTGATACAGCAGAGCATTGCTGTTCAACTCAACAGTAATCCAGCACATTCAAAAGCACTGGCCATGAGATTTATTTTACAAGCCAAACATTTTAAAGTAAGGAATTTCAGTGAAGTCACATACTCACTATTTCAGTGTTTATCTGTCTTCATGTTGTCACAGCAAGAGGTTTATGTTGAGATGTAGTTTAATGTGTTTCAATTTGTGCCCGTTCCAAAGGGTACCACGGAGAAGAGCCTCTCTCTCTCTTTACAGCTTCAGGTATTTATAAACATCATCAAGTTCCCCACTGAGCCTTCTTTTTTTCCCAGATTGATCAGCCTCAGTTCTCTCAGCCTCTCATATGAAAGCAGCTCCAGTCTGTTAATCATCCTACTGGCCCTTTGCTGGACTGTAGTTAAGTCCCCCATGGAAGTATATTTTTTTCTATATTAAAATACTTATGAGCTAGTAGAACTTAAAAGTTTTATTGAGCAGATTTGAGTCAAGCTCATTGCTGCTTTGTCCATTCTACATTTTGAGTGAATGAAATCACTTAATCTTAAAGCAGAGAACAAACTGCAATTCTACCTGATTAAGAGTAATTGAGGCAGAAACAATAACAGACAACCCTATGAAACTTCTTTTATTCAATATTTTACACAGCTGGTCCAAGAACTCCAGGATGCAGACATATATGCTTAGTAGAAGGAACATGACCAGAGTACCAGATCTGGGCTCTTTTTCCAAGGATATTTACTCAGATGGTTTTGCCACTGTTCCCTGTTCTACCCATGGCCTCCGTGAAACAACTACTGTCCCAATAAACCATATCTAAGGAGAGTTCTTGCACTGCCCAAGGGGTGAATCCACCCCTTGGTGGATCCCACAAATCTGAATCCACTCAAGCCAAAGAAGGTATGAAATCTGTTTCTAGCTGCAAGCTCCATTTTGGAGTAGAGGGGTAAGAAGTGCTCTACTTCCACCTTGAATCTACCTGTAAAGCCCTTGAAGGAAGACAGCTGCTGGAATTAGTCCATGTTGTATGAAGGGGTCGTGACTGACACCTGTCTGCAGACAGACCATTGCTGAATAAATGTGGTTCACAAAATGCCTCACGTGACTCCTGCCTCAGCTTTGCCCCCGGAGAAGCCATGCTCTCCCTGTGCCTTTAGCACAGCTTTTGGTATGACCTCCCATGACCTTCCCAGACACAGAGGTGGGGCTGACAGGTTGGTAATTCCCAGGGTCCTTCTTTCTACCATTTGTAAAGATGGACAGTATTTATTCCAATTTTCTAGTCACCCGGGACCTCACCTGACTGCCATGACTTTTTAAATGTCATGGAGAATGCTGTGGCAACTACATCAGCCAATTCCCTCGGGACTCTGGGTTGTACCTCATTGGGTCCCACATGCTTATGTACATTCAGGCTCCTCAGGAGGCCATGAACTTAACCTTCACTTACAGTTGGAGAGGCTTTGCTCCTCCAGTCTCCATCCTGCTGTCCATCCTCTTAAGAGATGTACAAAAAGAGGTTTCCAGCGAAGACTGAGGCAAAAAAGCACTTGAGTAAGTCAGCCTTTTCTTCCTCCTTCTGTGCTGGACTGACTATATCAATGGACAGGCAAGAGCTACAGATGTCATTTATCTGGACTTTGGTAAAGCTTTTGGCAGGTTCCCCACAAAATCTTTCTCTCTGCTTTGGAGAGAGATGGATTTAATGGGTGGGCTGTTAGGTGGATAAGGAATTGGTTGGATGGTCACATCCAGAGGGTAGTGGTCAACAGCTCAGAGTCATGAAGGACATAAGAAGCAGTGTCCCTCAGGTCCCACTGGGACCAGTGCTATTTAATATTTAAGTAACAAATAATAATGTAATACTTAACATTTAATAATACTTAATATTTAAATAATTATTAATATATATTTAAAGTATTATTATTTTAATATCATCATGACACAGATGGAGGCACCAAATGCACTCTTAACAAGCTGAGTTGTGCTGTTGACACACCTGAAGGATAAGATGCCATCCAGAGGGACTTGGACAAGCTCCAGAAATAGGGTCATGGGAATTTAATGAGATTTAAGAAGACCAAGTGCAAGGTGCTACACTTGGGTTGGAGCAACTCCCAGTATCAACACAGGCTGGATGGGGATGAAAAGATCAAGAGCATCCCTGCCACAAAGGACTTAGGGGTGCTGGTGGATGAGAAACTGGATATGAGCCATCCATGTATGCACTTGCAGACCAAGAAGCTACACAGGTCCTGGGCTGCATCCAAAACAGCATGGGCAGCAGGCCAAGGGAGGGTATTCTGCCCCTCTGCTGAGACCCTCCCTGTGTCCAGCTCTGGGGTCCAAAACACATGAAGGACATCAACTTGTTGGAGCAAGTCCAGAGGAGGCCACCAATTTGATCAGAGGGATGGAGCATCTCTTCTCTGACAAAAGGCTCAAATTTGGATCATTTAAAAAGTGAAGGCGTTGGGGCAACCTAATTGTGGAAATGTATTCATTTCATCAAGTATCATAATCTCTGTTATTTTATCCTTTGTAATTAATCTGAAATGCATTTTTATTCCTTGTTAATTTAGCTTAATAATATTAATTTTACTCTTGTAAACTATGAAAGCATATTCCCAAGAATCCCCTCATTATAAGTTATTCAGCATGCACCGATCAGTTTAAAGACAGGGGAATTGTGGAATGCCCCTGTTCCTAAGAGACAGAAATTTGATCTTACCTCTCTTGTCTTGCTAATAACTCCTCCCTTGACCCAAACCCTAACTCCATGCCTGCAACACCCTATAAAAACCCCACGACCCTGCCTTTGCCCTGTCTTTCCTCTCCATCCCACCCCTCCTCCCTGGGGGTAATAAATGGATTCTCAAGCTTTCTGAAAAGATCTGTCTCGTTTATTCCCGTGTCCAGTGGCAGCAGCTACACCCTCCCTGGACACAAGGAACACAGTTGCAGCACACAATGCAACAGAACAGGGCCTACAGGGAAGATGGAGAGAGCCTTTTTCTTTACAAGAGCCTGTAGTGACAGGACAAGAGGGCAACAGACTGGAAGGGGTTGCCCAGAGAAGTTGTGCATGCCCCATGTCTGGAAGTGTTCAAAGCCAGACTGGATGGGCTCCGAGCAACCTGGTCTAGTGAAAAGTGTCCCAGCCCAAGGCAAGGGCTTGTTACTGGATGATCTTTTAGGTGTCTTCCAACCCAAACCATTCTATGATTCTATGATTCACAAGCACTGTCTGGATCACAGCCCTGCACACATCAGCTGTGAACATCCACACCAAGGTTCCTGCAGGCT